AACATCCAAGGATACGACTGAGGTTGCAGAAAACTAATGCTTCGACCTTGTTACAGGTCTATGGCCCAATTCTGAGGGAGAAATGAGTCCTTCCTCGAGGATGTAGAAAGTGCTCTATGCGAACGCTGACTACTGAATTCACCATTCTAATGGACGATTTCAATGCGCATATCGGAGCAGACAGTGTAAAGTAGAAACACGTGATTACGTAGAACGATTGTAGCGACATCACTAATAATGGCACGACGTTCTTCCGATTTCGTACAAGCAGCGGACTGACTGTTATGAACATCGTCTAGGAGTACCGAAACGTGCATCAGTGTACTCATGCATGCGAGGAAATTTTCTGTACAGAAATCGAAGATCGATTTAATAATCATATCGCCGTACTCACGGTAATCGATAATGGTCGTTCGAGCCTTGAAAGACGCAGAACGGTCACCGATCATACTTTGCTGTTGGCACCCGTGACTGAAAGCTATGAAGTACCATGGTGGAGACCTGGCGACAGACATTTTCAAGTTCATTGGCCGTCGAACAAGGCAGCTAATGGCTAGAAAATTCCAATCGAAGGCCGAAGGGAAAATAGACCACGTGCAAACGGCATTGTACAGAGAGATGGGAAAGAAAGGGATGGAGAACTGCGAAAATTATGGGAAATTTTGATTAAGGGAGGAGGCTACGTTGTCGAAGACAAGCCTGCAAGCGCCGGAACGAGATATTTGTCTAAAACAGAGGAATTCAAGTGGGTTGAATGACGAAACGGGGACAAGAGTTATTAATCTCCATCAGACGATGGATGGCGATATGCATAAAGTTCTACAACAACCTCAACTTTTCCAAAACATGCGTGAATTGGACGCTGCCATATGTTGCTCCAGAAGCAAGAACGAATTTGAGTGGGCAGTCTGAAACATAAAAAACGAAAATGCTCAGGCAAGAACATCATAAAGCGGAAAACTAATCCTATTGAAGGCGCTTGCAAAACGTCTTAGGGATACATCAGGCAAAAATGACGTATGAAATATGGCAGACATCACGAACGGTTTTATTCATAAAAAACGAATGCGAAGACCTCAAGACTATCGACCAATCACACGCTTGTTGTAAATCAACAGTTTTCACCCGCATCATTCTCAACCATATTCGAAAGAACCTCGAACCAATCACAAGTTGGGAACAAGCCGGTTTCCGAACATGGTTTTCCACGATCGACCATTCAAATGTCACCCAGCAGCTAAGGAAGAAGAGAAGGCATGTGCCACTTTGTTTTGATTTCATCGACTGCAAGAACTGGTTCGAAACAGTAGAACTGAGGACTACACTGAACGCCTGGCATGAACATGCCATAAACCCTATTTACGTCAACATGATCGTGGAATTGCGCTTCGGTTGTAAGACTAATATCAAGCTGTTTAGTGAGTCATGTCACTTCAGTATCCAAAAAGGAATGCGCTTAGATGTCACCTCACAAGCTCTCTTCACTGAGGTCTATGAGTCACCGTTCATCTGACTAAACTGTCACAAATGCATAAATATTGATGGAGAACAACCGACTCACTGGTCGTTTGCGGATGACTACATCATTTGCAAGAAGAATCTCTCAGATCGGTTTGAAAATTAACCTCTTGTAGATGAAATGAATGCAAAATTAACCCTGCCCCGAGGGCTCTGTCTCCACAGAAATATCACCTGTGCATATTTTGGCCGTCAGATGATACGTGAACTCGCCAGACGGCGAAATCAGTCACAGGCGGATGTTAGCATGGGCCAATTTTAATCTATTAAAACATCATTACTCGACTCTCGGCTGTCCATTCTGGCAGAGAAAGAACTGTTCGATCCAACCGTCCAGCCGGCCATGGTCTACGGCGCTGAATGTTGGTTTGCTACAGAAGTTGAGAAGAACAAACTGATGGTCACTCAAAGAGCGATGGAGCTAATATTTGCAAATTGTCCCTCTGGGATCACATTTCTAGCGCACAAATTCGACAGCTGACTGGATTTACAGCCATATTTATGCCTTCCAGGACTCCAAGGGAAAAGGAGTCGGTCATCTGGCTTGTCTGAAATGCAAAGATGGATTTCAGAAATTACAAACTGGGTTCCGCTGCCGTCGTCCAAACACATGTTAGACTGATCCAGTGGCTGAGGTAAGAGAAGTATAAACTTGTGCTGATGGAATTTTCGTACCAACGACAAGTAGGATAACCGATTTTGATGCTTTATTGCATATTTTGTCATCATCATCTTTATCCGCTTTATAAAACTTCACTGCATAAGTTTTATGATGCATGCCAATTTCAGAATTTCGCATTTTAACATTAGGATGTATTTGTTATATGGAGGAACGAAAGATTCTTAATCGACAGCACATGTACGTTTAGTCTGCTCTCTTGTGTGATGCGATGATCATTGATATTTTGTCGGCGATGTTTCTGTCCCTATGTACAGACGATCTGCGACGAACAAGCCAGATTTGACTTCTATCCTGCAGATGATCAAAGCAGGCTATCCTTCTTTTTCTAATCATATCTGATGCGTCTTCGTTCTTCCAGTGCTAGAACCTCTTAAAATCTTTAACTGGCCTGAATATCATAACTTTCTGTAAGAGTTACGCAGTCTTTTGACTCCTGAGGAAGAAAAAACAGTGTTGGCTGATATTAGTTGAAAGCATATGTATCGTTTTTGAAGCTTCAACAATGACAATGGCGAATACCAATGCACTGATGCCAACTGTATGCCATACTCATCGTAATTGTACAAATACCATGAAGCACCATTTTAGCCCCCGTGCATATGAAAGCAAAGGGAAATCTGGTTATGGAAGAGTTTTAGTGGCCATTGTTATGTTTTGAACTGAATCATTTAAAAATTTAAGAAGCGATATTTCTGGTAAGCTGAAATTTCAAATCGTTTAAGTAAGTGCTTTCCTGTATACAGAAAAAGAGACACCATGAAACGAAAATGTTATATCATATCCTATCCTACTGGTTATATGACAGATGGCCTGTCGATTCATGTTGAAAGCATCAAACTACACAAATGTTAACACTTTAAGGCAAACGATTTTCGCCACACATGCAGTTGTATCATCGAGGAACAGTTCATATGATAGAGTAACCATTGCCCTCAGTCATGGTCATCAGTTAATCAGAAGTTTCTGCAGCGAGTCTACAATAAAACATCTGAATTGACACTCAACTGCATGACCCTTGTCCTTCAACCGCCGGCTGCTACTAGGCAGGGTGCAACGAACCTATTCCATCGGTTACCCTATCCATACTCACCGTCCCCTTTCCCTTCATTTCTTGACCGTAGCCGTCTGGCTCCTGAGTCACGACATGACAAGACAACTGCTTCAAGCTAGAAAAAGTACTTCCAAAACTCGCCCACCTCTCTGTTTTGAAAAAGCTTGAGACCCTAACTGAAAAGTTGGTACTGGTCAATACTCCGACTGACAAACTGTTTGAAAAAGGCATAAATCAAGCCTTTCATCATGCTCAACTAGTTTAATTAACTGATTAAGCTCTTTCTCATAAGCCGCATGGCTTTTTGGCAGGTATAATTCTGAAGTTTCAAGGTCTCGGCGTCATCGGTTTTAAAGGTTGTGTGGTTGACAGGCCACTCAGTCAGTTTACGAAACGAGTTTCAAGGTTGGCAATGAATGAGAAACATAAGATATACTGTAGTTTTTGTGAAATGCGGAAAACGTTTTGTTGCACACGTCAGATCGCCGTGCTTCATCAGTAAGGAGGATTTCGATGAGAAAATCTGCCCGTACAGTATGACCACTTTTTCTTTAGTGCTTCAGGTGCACATGTCCAGAGCAAGCTGTATTTTAGTTACTTCGTTGTCATTCTGTGCCTTTCGCCGATGGTATAGCCTTAATAACATGATCGTTCACGTGGTGGACTGTTAGCAGCGCCGCAGAGGGTATAAACTCTGGTGCAACTCTACCTGATCATCATCAAGACCCAGTTATTTTGAGGTAACTTACTGGTCATCCGTATCTTGGTCCAGAACGATCCGGAAAAACACTAGAAATGGAGAAACGCACTTCCTCAGCCAGATTTAGACTTAAAGCATTCAAATTTAATGGCCAGGAAAGCAACGGACATCGTCCTCTTACAGAATACCCAACCAGTAAAACATCTCCTATAAAATATCCAGAAGCAGTGAGATGGTGTGGGTAAGTTTTATACCTGCTGATTGATTAGCATAACCACCTGCTACCGCGGTATTGGCGCAAAGCAACCGTAGCTGATTTTAAATTGTAAAGATGCAACATTGGTTTCTAACTTAAATGGTCTTTTTAGGCAACTAGAAACAGAGAAGCGATACAGCTCAGCCGTACAAGGTACAGTAATCACCTGATTTGATTATTCATCGTTTCGGGCCGAAACTTTCATTGCGACACAGCAGTACAAGTTATACGGTAGATAACAAGCCGCTTTACATTAATAACATTGCCTGCATACGGTAGCTTGCGCCCCAGAGACGCTTCCGGTGAGGTCAGTGGTTGCTTGTTTCCCTAAACCATGGATCACCAAATTCTTCATCATTCAAAAATGGGCCAAGAATCGAAAACGTGACTTGTATGGTTGTTCCTTTTCACGGCAGTGGGGTGTAAATCAACTAGGGTTGATTCCAAATTACAAATTATACAGATGGAAATGTATAACATGATGTGTTTATCATATGAAATGGCCATTATATAAAAATATTTGACGAATTTGAGTTATGTGCCACCTCGGTATAACAACAGCGAGTTGGAAAGTTAAGAGTTAGCATTGACGAAATCGAACCATG